TTCTTTTTGTAAACTTTATGTGTCTTTGTGGTTTACTTTTTGGGCATGAAAAGCTGGTTCCTCTAAGTTTCTGGTTCTCTGTTTTTATTTTATATTGGAGTGGCCAGATTGCTTTTTTCTTCAGGAGTTCCCACAGAGGCCCAAGTCAGATGAGGATCAGATGCTCTCAGGCTTTCTCCTAAGGTCTGGATCCCTCCAGGGAATATTTTGGCCTCAGAAATTTGGGAGTTGGACTGGCCTGGGACCTGGGCCCAGGAAAGCTGATCGTCTAGGGCAGCTGGTTGCCATTCCACCAGAGATGCGAAAGAAGATGGGAGTGGGAAGTGGCCCCCAAGGGCTCCCAGGGACTACACTGAGGAGCTGGGTTGGTCTGGATGCAAAGGATCAGGAAAAAGAAAGGTCAGCCCCGCTGTCCAGCAAAGAGGCTGGAGGGTCATGTAGGCCCAGGAAGCAGAGGGATGTGAGGGCGAGGCCAGGCCCAGAAGCAGTGCTCTTGGGGACCTGAGAGGGAACTGAGTTGGTCTGGATGCAAAGGATCAGGAATTAGTGGTGGTTCCCCAAGTGTCTAGGGCACCAAGACAAGGAATGGGACAGGATCCATGCTAGGAGGAGAGACTGGAGGGAGAGATAGGAGGGTGAATGGGTCTGGGGGAGTCAAGGCGCAGAGGGTACGATCGACTTACGTCGACAGACAGCTCCGGACTCAGTGAAACAGCTCTAGATTCAGTGAAACAGCTCCGTTTATTCAGTGGGAGTTAGGGAAAATATAGCGTGGAGGCAGTAGCCAATGCTTCAGCTGATAGGTGCTCATAGTATGCTTTATGTACATGTGGCAGTAGGCTCCTATCATCCAACTACCAGGCAATGCCTAATTATCATATAGAAAAAACCTGGGGGTAGTTTTTACTCCAGGTAACTATGCTAAAGGTCATGTTCCAAATAAGGTCAGGCATCCCTGCCAGGCAGGACTCTCCAGGTAAGTCAAGCAGAGAGCAGAAGGCCCCCTGCTGAGAAGGGGAGTCCTTCCATATAGCCCCTTAGAGCTATCCGGATATGGAGGACTACAACCCTAGCAGCAGGGTTCACCAACAGAACCTTCTCCCACATCAACCATATACTGGGGCACAAAACAAAACTCAAAAAATACAAAAAGATTGAAATAATTCCATGCATTCTATCAGACCACAA